TTGGTAACCATAGCAACAGTGGGAGACCAGAAGATCCATGCTCCTGGGCTCATTCCTTGCTGGTCCATATAATAGTTTGTTGTCCTATCAGTGCTGCAGCATATTCTTTTTAAACTGGTGATTGTATGATAGGAACATCCTGAGAGAAATGCAGGACATAATCTAATTTGCTATAGAGAAAGGAATGTACCAACTTTTCTGTGTTGCCAAACTTGCTGAATTCCTTTTCTACACATTACCTGAGATTATGGAAATATGGAAGCAGACATTTGGATGACTTCTGACATTTTTAAAAATATTACTGGATTACATTAATTAAGAAACTTGCAATTTAGTGTGGAATTAATATATAAAATGTGTAATAGGGTAATTTGGTCCATCCTTTGTAAATAACCCCCACCACCATTAGTAATTAGGCCTATACGTTGTATTTTGCAGCTTGTTAGTATGTTAAATCACTGTCTTCTAAATACTAGAAAGTTGATTGTGAATCATCCTTAATGAAGTTAAAATGCAAGCCACCTTGAAGTTCAACCTTTAAACTTGAAAACCATCATTCTGTATCCGACCTATACTGGGTTTAAAGGTTCCAGTGTGGTCTAACTGCAGCTGCTGGCATCAAAAGTAATGCAGTGTATTATCAAAATATGTATCACAAAATGTCTAATAAAGTAGACTTAATAAAGAAAGGAATTACCAAGTAGCATATCCTGGTAATTTATAATAATAATAATAAAATAAAAAATAACTAAAACATTCTCAGTGAAGTACAGTATCGATTGACCAGATTGATTTGGCTAAAAAACGAAGCATGAAATGACGTATACAGCTGCTGTAATTCTCTTTGTGCTGGTAGCTGTTAGGGACTGAGATTATCTCATCTCTGTCCATCCTCATCTATACTTATTTGAAAACAAAGGGAAAAGATAATATAAATAGGTACAGGCTTGTTTCCTGTAACAAGCAAGATTACTGTATTAATAGGTTTCTGTTGTTTGTCAGTGCGGTTTAATTTCATTTCAGTGAAAGAAATGTTCTTATCGCTGAGTATAATTTTATTAGATTCTGATGGATATGGGGCAGACTTGTGCAGTGGGTACGTCTACAAAACAGTGCAGAACCTTAGGATTTAATTCAGTTTGTAAGGACAACGCTTCAGTTAGCGCAGTAACATTGCAAAGCAAAGAAGATTTCAATACACGTGGATGTCTAGAATAGTAAGAACTTTGCATTATCTAGGACTACGCGATACCACATCGCGATATAATCTCAGCTGTGTGGCATATGCATAATAACATGTTTTAAAATTGTTCGATATTTTTGATGCTCTTACCTTTTAATTAAAGGGGAGCTGAAAATTACCCAAATTAAGGTGCTAAATATTTTTTTTAGAGTTTGTTTTTTACGAAACATTTTGCATCCATAAATGCCAGTTTTTTCAGCCGATCACTAGTGCAGTGGTATATACCAAGTACAGCAATAAATGCATTTATGTTAGAAACCAAAAACTTAGATTAGGAAATGCTGCTCTATATGATTGTCATAAACATAAAATTGATTATTTTAATAAGTTGAAAACAAGATTTTTTAAAATACTTTTCCTTGATCTTGTTTTTTCCTTCTGTTAAACTCTAGTTAGCAATGCAGTCCAGGGTGGAAATAATGACAATGTATGCACAGTCAGCTGAATCACTTCTCATTTTTGTTGAAAGAATAGTGTTTATATAAAAAAAATTACTATATGGCTACTGCTAGCAGGAACATTCAATTAACATCTGGCAAAGCATGTTAGTGGATTATATAATGACACAATGACACCACCCTCACTGGGAATTCTGATATTAGTGACATGGATTTTTTCCATGTGTAGTTAGGTAATATGTTTACCATCTCTTGCCTGTTAATTGATGCTATTGAGCTGCCTCCACATTGAACACAGTCTGCTATAAATATCTCCTTTTTGGTTGTGGAGTTTTTTTTGTTAAATGTTCCTCCTGTACTGTGGCCTTATTTTCTCTTCCTGCATACTTTGAATAGTGGTTGGTAAGGATGCTCTGATCAGGATTTTTGCCACCGATACCAATGGTGATCGGGCGATACCGATTCTGATCCACACCGGCGATGACATGACTGTGGCGCCAAAACATTTACGTCCCCACTCATCGTGTACGTCCTCAGGCATTGACGTTATCAATTGTGATCAGTTCCTAAGATCAGCCAAGTTTAACGAGTACCGATCGAGTCATAAAATGTGATTATCGGCCGATACCGATCTGCGGCCGATCGATCGGAGCATCCCTAGTGGTTGGTGATATAATTTATTGTCGTTGTTAGGTGATATGATCATTGTTGCCGGTTGCGAGTGTGTCCATGATGAGTTACCACAAGAATTATGACACAGTACTACTGAGCACTATTATAACAACAGAGCAAATTGACAAGTGCCAATCACACAATGGCTTCTTATTTGGGGGCTGTAACAGTACTACAACAAAAATATACCGATGTGAAGAAAAGCTATTTCAGCCTGCATAACATCTTAGCACTATATGTATATATCATTTATTTGTCAATTATCTGTCTCAGTGGAGCTTAAATTAAGGATTATGTCTTGAACTAAAGTGTTTGACTCTATTTGGTCTTGTTACTCTATTTACACTATTTGGTCTTTGATGCACCTTATTACCACTTCAGAAAAACATCACATGGATGAAAATCTAGACATGAAATAAATACCTGAGACAAATCATGAAAATATAAAGTACCCTTTACCCATTTCTAATATACAAGGTCAGTATATTCATCTACAAGTCATGTGAAAAAATTAGGACACCCCATGAACACCTGTATCTTTATTAACATAGATAAACATATGGACATTTCGTGAAGTGATTAGTCATTGTTGACACAGCACAGCATACAGTGCACAACAGCGAAACGTGTCCTCTGCATTTAATCCATATGTGACATTATGGCGTAGCAGGGGGTAGCTAATTCAACTCCCAGGGAGCAGTGCTTGGGGGCGGTACCTTGCTGGTCAGGGATTCAAACCAGCAGTTTTTCAATTACAAATGCGCTTCCCTAACCATTACTCCATATTTTATGTTTTAACGACTGAGAGATTAAGGTAATTTAACAAAACAAATAAAACTGAAGAAATGTCTTTTTATAATGATTTGTAAAATGTAATGAATCGAAAAGCATTTCTTATGAGGGAAAGGCTAGGACAACCCCACATCCATTACTACTTTAATGTTTAGAATTAGATTTAGGTACACCACATCAGGTGCAAATGATTAGAACATCATTACCGAGCATTTTGGAGGAGCCTGTCTTATTTAAACCTAAGACATTTAGCTCTTGATTGTTGGAGTAAGTGGTTTCACCGTGGTAAGATGCAAAGAGCTCTCTGAGGCCTTCAGAAAGAAGCTTGAAAATACATATGAGTCTAGCAAGGGATATAAAAAGATCTCAGAAGAATGTGAAATCATCCATTGCACTGTCCGGAAAGTAATTCACAAGTGCACAACTGCCGGCGTGGCCAGGTCAGGCCGTCCTAACAATTTCAGCGGAAGAGCAGACCGCAAGATGCTTAAAGAAGTCTCCAACAATCCTAGAATGTCATCACAGGACCTTCAGCAACATCTGCCATCAGAAAGAGACTGCACAAGTTATTATTTTATGGGAGGTATGTAAGGGAGGAAACCCTTGCAGTCGAAGAAAACAAGACTGAAGTTTGCCAGGGAACACCTAGATAAAGACCAGGACTTCTGGAACAATGGGCTTTGGACAGATGAACCTACAACTGAATTCGCAGAATTCACATGTTTGGCATAAACCATAGACAGTATTTGAGCCAGAGAACCTGAAACCAACTGTGAAGATGGGCGTGGAAATGTCGTGGTTTAGGGCTGCTTTGATGCAGCATGGCCTGGTCAGCTCACCATTATAAAATCCATATGAATTCTTCATTGTATCAAAGGGTGAGACCATATGTCCAAAAATTGAAGCGGAGGTGGACAATGCAACATAACAGTAACGTAAAACATTCTGGTAAATCCACCAAGGAATGGTTCAAAAGAAGGAGATGGAGAGTTCTGGAATGGCCAAGTCTAAGCTCAGATCTTAATCCTATTGAGATGCTGTGGGGTTATTTGAAACAGGCTGTGCATGCAGGAGATCCCTCAAATATCACACAGCTGAAAGAATTCCTGTCCTGTCTTGTGGGTCCGCGTCAATCTGTTTGGTCTTACAACGTCCTTTTACCTGCCATGTCCTACTGTACTAGTCCATCTATATACTGTGTTGTCATAATGGAGTGGGTGGGCTGGTTTGGAGTGGCTTCACTTAATGTATTGATCTGTTGTTCAGCTAATTAAAACATAAAGTTGTCCTCCAAAGGGGTGGGGGTGGTTGGGCATTTAAAGAAATGAAAGAATCCTGCATTGAGGACTGTGGAAAACTCTCTTCCAGTCAGAGAGACTAGTGTATAGCTATAGGGAATGTCTGAGGTTATTTCAACCAAAGGGGGAAACTCTAGTTGTTAGGGCATAGGGTGTCCTAGCTTTTTCCTCAGCAGAAATTGACATCTTTGTTATTTTTCTTTTGCCTAAATAAGTGGATTTGTCAGTGTTTTTGCATAGGTGATCCAAAACACATCCTTTGTCTCTAGATATAATTTGAAAGATGATGTGGATATTTCTTAATAAAGACTAATTATTTTCACATGCTTGTACCATCTAGAAACAAGATTGATTATTTATCTACTCATTTATGTTTTGCAAGGTTAAATGACATTCCTGTTGTGTGGTTGTATTGAATTTCTTTGAATTGTGTGTGGCCAGTTCAATTCAAATTGCAATTCATGAATGGAAAGGAGCACAATTCATCCATCCATCCAAAATATATGTCTTTCAGGATGTTACAGGTCTAATCATGTTTGGAGCAGTTGAGTGCAGTAATGTTTTTTTTCCTCAGATTTTCTGTATTTCTCTTTCCAGATTTAGAAGACAGAGGCAGCTCTGGGTCTTGGGGAAATGGAGGCCGTTCTTCTAAGGTAGGGTTAAGCTGGTTCTGTTTCTCATTGGCACAGAGTTATGTAAAAGAAAAAAAAATCACATATTGCCAAACCAAATTTTAGATCTCAAAATACTTATAATCATCTGTAATAAATAACTGACAAATATATGTACAGAGTCTGTATATTTTTAATTTTCCTGCAGCTGTCATATTTGAATTATATTAGAAGCACTGAAAACAATAAAACCGCAAAGTAGATTTTGTGCTGCATCATCATCATTGAAATAAATCTGAACTTCCCAGTGTGATTGTCCTAGAACACTTTAAACATGCATGGATAAACACTAGGGGTGGAAATTGGCAGAGATAACCCAAATAGATATTATATCAATATTTAATTGCTGATTCAATATGTATTACAATCTTTTAAAATACTTTTTGATGAAGAGCAGTTCAGGTGTGCGATTAAAGTAAAGACAAGGGCTGTAAAGATACACGTATTCGTCATGCATTTTTGGTACGGTACGCACAATGAAGCAGATGAATATATAGACATGGGTAAAACCTAAATTCAACAAAGAAAACATGCTAATTGTGGCTGTGAGTTGACTATGGCTAGTGCTGGAGAGCTCAAAGACCCTTCCACATCATTTAAATGAATAGTTTGGGAAAATTTTGGTTTGCCATTAAAATATACCATCACTGGAAGAGAGAGTAGTTGATGAACCCAAGACAGTTGGCTCTGCTATTCTGAAACTGGGATATGTTGCTGGAAACACATCCCACATGCTAACTCATTTGGAATGACATCACCCGAGTGGATGTATGACCCAGAGCCCGGCAGAAACAGCCTCTGCAAGTTAGTCTCCCCGTGGCATTTAAGGCGCTTTTGACTGGCCAAAAAAAAAAATAAAAAAATACTGGCATAAGATTATTGGGGTGTTTATCACCACAGACATGTGATCATACTCGTTAGTAGAGAACACAGAATTTAGTACATTATGATTATAATGCAGTTTTTTTTTGTGAATTTTTATTCATTTTACATATTTTTACCATGCTGATGAGTCTCTTAAGTTTTGTCATTAAATCATGTCGGCAGACACAATACCTTCTGTTTGGCTTACAACTTTTTCTATATTCTGTTTGCAGTTTTAATAAACAATTTCCAAACAAATTCTGTTTCGCTACTGTACCAAAATTACACCGACTTGTTAACTGAAGCACGTACCCACACTCATATCTGGGTGTCCATTTACTTTATAAAATCCAAAGTTTGCCCAAGCATTTAAATCGAGATGATACTGGAAAAGTTCCTGCACACGCTTGCTAGTTCATGATAAAGTTGCACTGTACGCAACTCCGTAAATAGAATTAACAAATGTGGCAAACATAATCAGCTCAAAGAATCATGATTTGTAATTCAATCTATTCCCCATTCCCCACCCCTATTAGACACACACAGCACATTGTACAAAAAAAACAAACAAAAAAACAAACAAAACTGAACATAACATAAAAACTCTTAATTTGTTCTAGTAGAGGAATCCTGGTTAAACTGATTGGTCACTGTTGCAGGATATGCTAACCAGATACATTCAATCATATGGTGTTTCCCTTCAGCCCATTCTTAAAAGGGACAGAGAGGAAAATTATAGCTAAATGCAAGTAATATTGCAAATATGAGAATGAGCCTCTCTTTTTGCTTCTGAGAGTCATTCATACTGATTGCCTCATGCAAAGACGGCCACTAAGCCACTGAGCTTAGACAACCGTCCTTTTCAGATGAGAAATGAAACTGAAATTCTGAGACAAAATGGACATTTTTACATTTGGGGAAAAAAAGGTATCCACCTATCCGCCAATCTAATTGTGCTTTTTTGCATTTTTTATGAAAGGGGTTTTTATGAAAGAAGGCTAGTCTGTATCTATTTCACTGTTTTTGGACTTCCCCTTCTGTAAACCTCAGGGGCCCAAACCACCTCAGCTAGCACTGCTTCATACAGTGGAGTAGTAAGTCGATTCTGGTGATGTCCTGGATTGCTGAACTTCACCTAATCCCGAAGAGTAAGTGCAACATCCCTCTGAAGAGATGTCATTGTAGCCTCTTGTATTAGGGTGCTTTTCTGATCAATGGTTGGGACTGAAGTCACACATAATAAGCTAATTTCTGTTTGGGTCAGGATGTACGGATGGAGAGCAGAAGCTGATTTCATGTGACTGTCTTAATGTCCTTCATGATAACTTTTTAAAGTGAACTACTATACTACCAGTAACAAGTGACCTTTTTGGTGAAGTTTAGGGGACTACTTCCTGTTAGTTTTCTGAAGGTGTCTCGTCTCTCACAAATTCGGTATGAGTTACAACTAGTGTGTCATTCTCCCTTGCACTTAAGTCAAAAAAGTGTGTAGCTGTGCGCTTTTTTCACTTAAGCGTAATCCCCCATTGACTTAAGTCTGGGGTTTAAGTGCACTTAGGCTAGATACGCACGAAACAGAACTATGGGGGTTTCACTTGTATGTATGAATGACTCTTAAGCGTATTCTGCCACTGACTTTACTGCACTTAAGTGTATTTTTCACTTTGTGCTGTGCAGGGTTGTAGTATGTGCCTCTACATAGCCAAACACAATATTGCAGTTTTCAGAAAGCTAAACGTAATAAGAACATAAGAACATAAGAAATTTACAAACGAGAGGAGGCCATTCGGCCCATCAAGCTCGTTTGGGGAGAACTTAGCTAATAGCTCAGAGTTGTTAAAATCTTA